CTTTTTGTAACATCCTCAAAGTTACAATTGTTGCACCACTACCACCACCACCACTCCAAAGTCATGTGACCACATTTCAGGCTCAGGTGACTGGCCCACATTTACGACTGGTTGCAGTACACTGCAGTCACATGGTCACAATTGATAACATTTTTGCTATATTCCTGCAGAAAGCAGCAAAAAAAGCCCATTGGAAATGCTGAATTTGCTTAACAACTATGTGATATATTTGTTTAAGTTTACTGTGACTATCAGTATCTTGAAGAACAAAACTAAGTGAGATTTTAGCTCCAGGTGCTTGAAGCATGGAGTGTTTAGAATCAGCCTGGTAAGGGCTGCTTTGCAGAGGGATAGTGGCAGGCAGCCTTCTGTTCTCAGGCTGGCTGAAAAAGATCTATTTTCAGTCAGTCATCAGGAATCAGACGCCTGTTGATTTTCTGAGAATGCTGGCTGGGAAGATTGCAAATAGCAACCTTATGATCACAGAGGGCTTGGAAACTTGTCATAAGTGCAAACAAATTGCCAAGAGCCCAAATCACAATAATGTGACTGCAAGGGGAACCGATAATCAGAATGTCAAATCTGGGTTGTAAGTACCCTGAGTTAGGCCCATCAGACTTTTGCACAGTCACTAAGCCATTAGTTGAGGACTACCTGTAAGCTGGGATGAGTGAATTTAAAATTCTTAATATTTTACAAAAGTATATTGCAGAAACTTTTAAGTAATTCATAGTAGTTTTCTGATCATGCTTAGTGGGGCCTTGTGTATTGGGAAATAGCAACATTCCTGCTGCTTCGTGATCTTTTAAATCTCTGCAATGAATCATGTAACCGTATCTTTAAACAGTAATGGTATATTACTGGAAATTGTGACTAATGACTGTCAAAAATACAGAACTTTGTTTAAAAAAGATGTCAGCAATTGAACTCCAACACTTTCTGCAATTAGTGAAAAATATTTATTCATTCATTTACGTAAGTCTAAAAGGACTCTGAGTGGTATATCACATTAAAAACAAGAAAAAGTTGAATCTGAATAATGTTAAAAACAAAAAATAATCATAAGCAAACATTTGATGCATAGAGAACAATTGTCCGAAAAGTAAGTAAGCATTAATGGTTAACTTGCAGTGATGTCTTAGACTTTTCTCAAGGAGACTGTAAAATAAAATTAAGAGAACATTTAGTAACAAAGATATACTTACAGTCAATGGTTTTCTTATGTGCAGTTATCAAAAGTACATAGAAAATTTTATGTTTTTGAACATCAGATGACTGAGTTTGAAGTAAAATTATATACAAATGATGAACATGTTATTGCTAAAATGTATAAACTTGTTGAAATATGAGATAGAAGAAAGGTGAAAGAATATATGATAAAATAGGCTAAAATTGCCTAAAATATATACAAATAGATCATTGGGAAAATATGTAATTGCAAATATCAAAATTTACATTATGTTCTAGTGTTAAAGAGATTCTTTAATAAAATAATGTATTGTTTGTATTTGTAACCAGAAAAAATTGTTGGAATATATGAAAGGAAATGTGAACATGAAAAGACATTTTATCAGGTCTGATGGATATGCAAAAAAGCCAAACAAAAGTTTGGATAGAAGATTTTTAAAGATTCATGTACAGTTGAAACCAGAGACTTTTCTTTTGGAATTAGTGAACAGACACCTAGAAAAAGTGTGGGACGTGTTTATACATGAAAACTGTAACAAGATTACTATACCAGTGCTTTTCAACTTTTTCACCCATTGTACCACTTTTAGGATATGCAACATCCGAGTACCACCTAGCCTAGCAAGGTGTCAAAAACTTGATGACCCCCCAAAAAGGAAAAAAGTGATAAAGTACAGGTAGTCCTCGACTTACAACAGTTCGCTTAGTGACTCTTCGAAGTTACAATGGCACTGTAAAAAGTGCCCTCCCAAGCCACAGCCCGAGCAAGACACCTGCCTGCCCACCCGGCGGCGCTCTTCCTCCTGTCTGAGGTTTTCATTGTTGTGAGCATTTCTGTCGAGGATTGGCAGTGGAGGTGGGCTGGGGGGTGTTTGGTTTTTATTCCCCCGACTGCTGGGTAGTTGCAGCAGGTTTTGGTCACTTCACATGACCCTGGGACACTGTAACCGTCATAAATATGAAACATTTGCCAAGCATCTGAATGTAAATCACAAAATCCTGGAGATGCTGCAACATTCCAGCTGATCGGCGCTTCTTCTGGGCTCAGCAGAAGCACTAGGATCACTGCTGCTTTCCAGCTGAATGGTGCTTCTTTAGGGCTTAGCAGAAGCACCAGGATCAGCGCCAGGCTCCAGCTTGACTATGTGCTCTGCAGCCAAAGATGGAGAAGCTGTATACAGTCAGTAAAAACAAGACCAGGAGCTGACTGTGGCTCAGATCATGAGCTTCTCGTTGCAAAATTTAGGCTTAAATTGAAAAAAGTAGGGAAAAGCACTAGGCCACTCAGGTATGAACTAAATCATATTCCTGATGAATATACAGTAGAGGTGACAAATAGATTTAAGGAATTAGATCTGATAGACAGAGTGCCTGAAGAACTATGGATGGAAGTTCGCAACATTGTACAAGAGGTAGCAACTAAAACCATCCCAAAGAAAAAGAAATGCAAGAAAGCAAAATGGCTGTCTGAGGAAGCTTTGCAAATAGCTGAGGAAAGAAGGGAAGCGAAAGGCAAAGGAGAAAGAGAAAGATACACCCAATTGAATGCAGAATTCCAGAGAGTAGCTAGAAGAGATAAGAATGCCTTCTTAAATGAACAGTGCAAAGAAATAGAAGAAAACAACAGAATAGGGAGGACCAGAGATCTCTTCAAGAAAATTGGAGATATGAAGGGAACGTTTCATGCAAAGATGGGCATGATAAAGGACCAAAATGGCAGAGACCTAACAGAGGCAGAAGAGATTAAGAAGAGATGGCAAAACTACACAGAAGAACTATACAAGAATGAGCTTAACATCCCAGATAACCACAATGAGATGGTCACTGACCTCGAACCAGACATCCTAGAATGTGAAGTGAAATGGGCCTTAGAAAATCTGAGCAACAACAAAGCTAGTGGAGGTGACAGTATTCCAGCTGAGCTATTCAAAATCTTAAAAGACGATGCAGTAAAAGTGCTACACTCAATTTGCCAGCAAATTTGGAAAACTCAACAGTGGCCACAGGATTGGAAAAGGTCAGTTTACATTCCAATTCCAAAAAAAGGCAACGCCAAAGAATGTTCAAACTATCGCACCATTGCACTCATTTCACATGCTAGTAAAGTTATGCTTAAAATCCTACAAGCTAGACTCCAGCAGTATGTCGATCGAGAACTACTAGAAGTACAGGCAGGATTTCGAAGAGGCAGAGGAACTAGAGATCAAATTGCCAACATACGCTGGATCATGGAGAAAGCTAGGGAGTTCCAGAAAAACATTTACTTCTGCTTCATTGACTATGCTAAAGCCTTTTATTGTGTGGATCACAACAAATTGTGGCAAGTTCTTAAAGAGATGGGAGTACCAGACCATCTCATTTGTCTCCTGAGAAACCTATATGCGGGTCAAGAAGCAACAGTGAGAACCGAACACGGAACCACTGATTGGTTCAAAATTGGAAAAGGAGTACGGCAAGGCTGTATACTGTCACCCTGCCTATTTAACTTATATGCAGAGCACATCATGAGAAAGGCAGGGCTAGATGAATCAAAAGTTGGAATTAAGATTGCCGGGAGAAATATCAACAACCTAAGATATGCAGATGATACACTCTAATGGCAGAAAGTGAAGAGGAACTAAAGAGCCTCTTGATGCGGGTGAAGAAGGAGAGTGCAAAAGTTGGCTTGAAACTCAACATTAAGAAAACCAAAATCATGGCATCCGGCCCTCTCAATTCCTGGCAAATAGATGGGGAAGAAATGGAGTAGTGACAGATTTTATTTTTCTGGGCTCCAAGATCACCTCAGATGGGGACTGCAGCCAAGAAATTAAAAGACGCTTGCTCCTGGGGAGGAAAGCTATGGCAAATCTAGACAGCATTCTAAAAAGCAGAGACATCACCCTGCCAACAAAAGTGCGTATAGTCCAGGCCATGGTTTTCCCAATTGCAATGTATGGCTGTGAAAGTTGGACCATAAGAAAGGCTGAGCGCAAAAGAATTGAGGCCTTTGAACTATGGTGCTGGAGAAGACTCCTGCGAGTCCCTTGGACTGCAAGGCGTTCAAACCGGTCAGTCCTAGAAGAGATCAACCCCGACTGCTATTTAGAAGGCCAGATCATGAAGTTGAAACTCAAATACTTTGGCCACCTAATGAGAAGGAAGGACTCACTGGAGAAGGGCCTAATGCTGGGAAAGATTGAGGGCAATAGAAGAAAGGGACAACAGAGAATGAGATGGCTGGATGGAGTCACTGAAGCAGTAGGTGTGAACTTAAATGGACTCCAGAAGATGGTAGAATACAGGAAGACCTGTTGTCCATGGGGTCGCGATGGGTCGGACACGACTTCGCAATTAACAACAACAACAAGAAACCCCTTTTAGGTTTTTTTGTATGAAACAAAAAAATGCACATGACTTGTGGTTTTGGTTATTAAAAAAATGTATAATAGAAAAAAATGAACTTTTTTGTAATTATAAAAGGAGTATATTTGCTGCAAAGGAAATTGTAAGCTTTCTCCCTTTTGGCACTTTTGTCTTATTGAAAGAAAAATCATCAGGTCCAGTTCTAAGCTAGGAGTAAATAAAATGGAGGCTAAGACGCTGGAAATAAAAATGGAAGCTGCTTAGGAAAGAAGATTTATTCATGAGCAGAACCAGCAACTGCATGTGTTTCTGAAATAGCTGACCGAATGGAGTTGAGAAGTGGGTGGGTTTTTATACCTTCTTTGGGCTTTGTATTTGAGGTGACTGTTCTGTGCAGTGTATTTTGACCTGAGCTTGAGTGTACCCTTTTGGTATTCTAATGGTGGTGGTTAATCCTATTATGTCCTGGCCGTGGAGCTGGATGGGGGAATGTAGATTTTAGGAGTCTTTGTTTTTCTAATCCCATCAGCTCCAGCCTTCATGGCCCAGGTCTTCCTGAATGGATTACCAAATCTGCATTTCTAAAAGCTAGCCTCCTCAGTTTCTGCTTGAGGCAGGGAGACCCTCTGGGGCTGGTTTTTGCCTCCCTTAAGATTTTTTCCTGTATTTCTTCTTCATGGGAAATATTCTATCCTGCCTTTTTTTAATATTCCCTAAAATATTTCATTCTCGTGGGGGGGGGGTGTTGTTCTGACTCCTTATAGTCTTTTTCTCTTTTTCTTTGTTTTTTTTCTTGTGTTAATTTTTATGTTCTTTTAATTTTTTTTGGTAAAAGTTATAGAAAAGAGAATATATTATTTTAAATACAGAATTAAGCTGCCTCAAATTTGGTCTGGAGATAAGACTATGTTATGGGGCCATGCTCTTTAAAATGGTTATTGGGGGGGTCTTCATGTCTTCCTGGTAAGGGAATGTTGATGCCCCTTGTATATCCATTAGATTAGTATCTTAAACTTTTTTCAACCAAGTTTGTACTTAATGATTTATTCATGTTTTTAAGTAAACTAAACTACTTAAATCAAGACCTGAAACTGAAAAACAATATAAGAGGGAACTTCCCATCCTCTGGTTAAAATGTATTCTATATTTCTAGACTTGGGAGTTGTGAGGCTTCTAGATCAGTATATGACAGGCAAGAACAGCTGTTGGTTTAAGAGAAGCCCAGAAATATTGCTATACCTCTGCTTTAAAGGCTCAGCAGAGTTAAATTTAGATCACTTTCTTTCATATCTATACTGCTTTGAAATTTGATGTATTCTGTTGCTAATGCAAACACTGTTTTATTGGTATAAAATAGAGAAGAAACTGAAATAGATTTAGAATTTTCTTTTGAATAATTTATATCACTCCTGGTGAAAATAGTGACCGGTTGTTTTTATTTATTCAGCAGTGTATTGAAAAACAGAAACCTTGCTGTGTCTGAACTCATGACCTGATCACTGAACATTGAATCTAGTTCAGAGGTAGTCTTGTCACACTCACTCTTCTATTAATCTCCAAGCATCCATGTCTGTTTTCATTATTCTAGTCTGCTTTCAAATTTTTTAAAAAGGGGATACTCATTTATGTCAGTACAAATCCGTTTCCTCTGTCAAGTGCTGCAGAGTCGGTGAGGCTTGCAACATGGGATAAGGGTTAATCTTTTCCTTCATACAATTTTCCTTCCCCCTCCCCAGTTTGTTCTTACACAGCAAGTAAGCTCACTAGGGGAAAAAAGCATAGTGAGCATAGTGATGTTTCCATAGGTCACTTCACCAAATGGAATGTGAAGGAAGAAAAGAGGATTGGCTGGAGTGAAATAAGTGTATTTTCTGTCATTTTAAAAACACTACTTGGGTACTTTGGTTTTCCAGTGTCCTGTAATATTAGTATGTACATCACATACCCCTCTCCTTTTTGAGAGACATTACTACACAGTACTCCAAATTTCATTTTAATACATTTTAAGAAACATGTTTAAAAGGCTTATTAAAAAAAATAAAACATCCACATTTATTATTTTTGTGTTGATTTTGATGGGAATAGATCTATTAAATTAAATAAATGAAAATTATTAATAGATAGAAAATTCCCAGTACAAATTTTATGCAGATGTGCATCCTTATTTAGAATTCTATTGACATCCTTGTGAATTTCTGTTGGTATTACCAGTCAGGCTAATATATAGAGAATATATCATGTTTCCCCAAAAATAAGACCCTGTTTTATATTTTTTGGCCTCCAAAAGAGGCACCAGGTCTTATTTTCAGGGGATGTCTTACCCGCTTACCTTAGAACCATTGCAGTCAGGTCTCCCACACCCCAATACCTGTCACGCTGCTGCTCTGGTCCTTTTCCAGCTGCTTGCAGCTGCACGCCATGTGGTGCATCATGACACTCATGCTACAAGGCCACATGGCTCGTGCCAATTGCATTGCTGCTGCCAGTTGCAGCATGAGGCCACAAGGCTCATCGTGCTGCTACTGCCGCTCGCGATAGGCTACGTGGTGCATTGTGCCAATCGCACTGCTGCTACCACTTGCTAGCAGGTGCAGTTGGCAGGACAAGCCTCGCGGCCTCCTGGCATGAGTGGCAACACCGGCTCGATTACCTCGCGGCCTCTTGCTGTGACTGGCAGCAGTGGCGCGATGTACCATGTGGCATGCAGCTGCAAGCAGCCACAGAAGAACTCGGGTAATAGTGCAACAGATGTCAAGGCGTATTAGGCCTAGCTACAGCAATCCTAAGGTAAGCGGGTGTGGGGCACATGGGGCAGCTCCACCTCCCCACTCCCACCCTAGCTTGATTTTTACGTGTGCAACTCGCCCCAAAATTAGGGCTTATTTTTGGGGTAGGGCTTATATTGGGTGTAAGTGTAAAAATCAAGCTAGGGCTTATTTTGGGGAAAACACGGTAGTACATGTATGCTAAGAGGTTTGTTAGTACTTAAACAGCATTCCTAAAATTCTGAGCCAGTTTTTCTAAAATTGTATTTTGCTTTCTTCCTTCTCACTGAGTCATTCAGCTGACTGAGTACATTCAGTACATTTTTTCTAGCATAATATTTTGCCAGAATATAGACTTTAGCTTGCAGGTAGCTTTTGAAATTGGGCTGAGAACTTCAGACTGTCCACTCCAGGTTCGATATGATTTAAAATATACCGGTACTTCTTTATCAGCTATCTTGAGCATGGCTGCACCAGACTGCCAGTGAGGCCCCAAAACTGAGTTTCCACTTTTCTGCCTCAAGCCCTAGATGTCAGGGTAGAGAGCATTGTTGTTTTTAATATTTCTGGTTTTGGTATAACTGTTTCCAGGTGTTCTAGAGAATAGATATATATATTTTCATGATGTATTGGTCCTGAAAACATGTTCCAGATTGTTCAAATACTATTTTTCTTTAAAAATAATGAGATATAAAAGTCATTTTGAGTAGTGATTAATACTTAATCCAAGCATTTGTTTTTCATTTCCTAAGTACTGTGCATTTTTTCTAGGTAGTAGTCCTCTTTGAATTGTTAATCAGCAGCTGTCTAAAGAAGTTTTTTTTTTCCTGGGCAGTGCTGTTAGTGATGTCACTTTCCCCTTGGCAAACGGACAGATAGCTCTGCTGTTTTTGAAATTGGTTTCTGGGAGGGGAAAGAGAAGAGAGTGAGAGCATGCCTTGTCCTGGGATCCTGTTTATTTAACATTCCCAGCTAAGGAAACCCTACTTTAAAAAAGATTGTGCATGCAGTCTTTCTATATCAGATGAAGAAATGAGTATGCGGTTTTCGAAATTTCTTTGTTTACACTCTTAGCTTGGATTATGAGTTTGCAAAATGCCTTTCCTTTTGGGCCTACGACAGGTAACTTGTTTTTGGATTCTTGTTTTTTACTGGTTAGGGTGGAGAATAAGAAGTTTTGCTGGTTTTTAAAGCTTCCAGGCTTCCTTGTCAAGTGAGTTGCTGATTCAAAATTCACTTTGATCATATTTCTACTGGGGTCTGTTTGAGAGGAAAAAGATATTTATACCACAACACTGAAAAATCCTGAAGATTGAAAAACTTTTTTAAGAATCAGAGTCAGCATAAAAATGTGTTCTCCCTTTCAAATATTTCTAAATCTCTTCTAAATTTGAGTTGTTTGCAAGATTGTTTTTTTACTGTTTTCCTGTAAATCAAAAGTTACTGTCAGAGTTAACGTATACTTTTAAAATATTTGTGAAGTTTGTCTTTTTAAAATACCAAATTAATTGATTCCTAAACGGCATCGAACACTGCCAGCTTACTCTTCTTGATCCAGAATTTAGCAGAGTAAATTTAATAAATGACAGCTTAGGAATTATCCTGTCCTTTAATTAATGTTGCTCATTTGCTGTGAAAACAATGATGATTCTTGCATATTTCATCTAACCTGTATTTATTTTGTAAAAAAAAAAATCAACTGATGTGGTGAACCTTAAATGTTTTGTTATCTAAAATATTTACTACCAGCAAATTATTTGATAAGAATGAAATAGCTATTTTTAATTTATAGATGCCTAGTTTTTAAAAACACAAATAATTAAAGTAAGAATTATCTCTTCTGCAAGGATTACATGAAGCATGGTGTTCACATTGTTTTTAAATTATTTATACTATTTTCAATAAAAATAAGATTATGGAAATTTTAATATGGTAATATTTTGTATTACATATTAAGTCTTGTATCAGCAAATTAGATCCCTAGAAAATATATGGGAGATAAACTCGGTGACCTCTGAATACTTTCATATCAGATGCACCTCCTAAAAGGAAATGTAGTAGATACCTTCTGATTATGTGTTCTGTTCAGTTCTATTACTGGTAAAAAAAAGATTCAATATCTGAAACAAGTTTACTTGCCTATTTTTGGTGTTTCTGCATTTAATCTTATTATGTGGGCTAATATTTGCATCTGCTTTTTGTTCACTTGTAGCTTTTTACCTGAAATCCAACTAAATTTGCTGTATCACCCAGCAGATTTGTACATATTTCCCCCGTTGTTCTTTGCGCTTTTATTCGTCCATCTTTTTTTCTAACCATGTAGTTGTATTTCTTATTCTGTTCTTTTTTATTGTTTATTTTATTGCTCTATTATCTTACTTCTGTTCATACTCATTTCATTTCTTCCTTTTGATTGTTGTAAGCCACCTAGAGTAGCCCCATGGTAAGATAGTCAGCAGGTAAATTTAACAAATAACAAATATATGAACACAACAATTGTTTTAGAAGCCAAACATTAGGTTTAAACTCTGGGATAAGGCTGCCAGAGGTTAACTTGGCCAATCAATAAAATAATAATTCTTGTTCCAAATTTCAGAATTCATTTTCACCATTACCTATCTTACACCAGTGCTGCCCAAACTTTTTCTTTCATTACACAAAAACACCTAGCAGAAAATTTTATGGAATTTTGAGGATCATTTGTAAGTTCCTCCCATCTTCAGCACCATTGTAATTTCGAATGATTGCTGAATGAATGGCTGCCCAGTTCGTTTCAAAGTTCTAGGCTGAAGATAAGGTTGAAATGTTCACATCAAATTTCCATTGCAGTGACTAAATCTAGTTTTTATTACTGTGTGATAGAATTTTATGCCTTTTTTTCTACTCATTTTCTTCTACACTGATATTTTAAAGATAAAATGAATATTATGGTTCAGAGTAACCCAAAATATGTAATCCTTTCTTTAGAAGAGAATTAGATATCCCCAAACATTTTCTTTTACAATTTTTTCTCAAGATATCTTCAGATTTATTTAGAAATGTAATACTAATTTAATTTCTTAACCCAAAAAAGCTATTGATATATAGTTGAATGCAAGTGATGCTAGGGATTTTTGTTCTTTTTTTTTTTTTTTTACAATTTGAGTCAGTTCTTGTGTTCTTTTTTTTTTTTTTTTTACAATTTTACAATTTGAGTCAGTTCTTGTGCTTTATGGCAAAATTGAGATCAGCCATTAGGTTGTATATGTAAACTTGCTAAATTAATGTTTTACTGAAATATGTGATATGTTCTCCTTATCTGAAACTGGGAAATAGAGTAGGCCAATAGGAAAAGTTATATTTTAGTAGTGTTTCATTAGCTAATTTTTAATATGTAACACTAAAGCTTTTATTTCTCATCTAAACGACAGCATGCACAGATTCTTTTATTGAACAGAGACAGGCAATTTTCTCAGTTTTTAAAAGGTTCTCCCACCATCCCACTCCACTGCCAGTATCCCAGAGGTGGCAAGAGGCAAGGGAGTAATGCAGTGTTTCCCAAACTTGACAATTTTAAGGCATGTGGAGTTGAAGTCCACATGCCTTAAAATTGTCAAGTTTGGGAAACACTGGAGTAATGCAGTGATTTAACTAATGGGTTTTTGTTCTTTATGTCATTTGGCATCTTAAACCAGCCAAGCCCCAGTTAACTAGTGATTAAAATTTGAGAAAGGAAGCCATTTGCTGTAGAACTTGAATACTGCTTTTCTGGGAAGCCCTAGGGGTTACAGAAAAGGGCTGCAGGATGCATGTATTACCCATTTCTGAACTAAGGTTCAACAGAATCTGATCCTGCTTTTTTTTAAAGGAAAGTACAATTGAATGTGAAAAAGTTTCCCCCTGTTATTTAAAAGTACTTTTAAAACTAATCTTAGCCTTTCAAACAACATAATATGGCATAAGTTCAAACTGTCCTTACTGTACAAGGATTTCTACAGAAAATATCTCACTTATCAATCAACGTCCATAAACTATAGTATATGAAATCTGTAATTAGTAGGTTGAGAACAGCTTCTTTTCTTGAGCACTGTAGAGCTAAATTTCTGATTTATATTAAGAGTTCTCCACATCTCTTAACAAATCAGAATGTGGATAAGTTATAAAAGCTCAAATTATAATCAAAAATTTATAAAAGCAAGTGCCATAATCACACATGAATCTGAGATTATCATTAAAAGAAATTGTCCAATAAAATTGACTATAGAAGAATTTTACTTTGGTTTTTGTTTATATTTCTGTAAAATTATGGTTTAAAAATTTCTCTGCAAGGGTTTGGGGAGAAACTTCAGCAGGTTTATCCATAATACTGATTGTCCAAAAATGTTGGCCACTGTTTGCTGTTTTCTTTGAGAAAAACAAACAGCTGAAGGGTTTGGGGGAAGTGGAGAGTATATCTCATTGGACTCTTGCCATCTGAAAATGTTCCACATACTTTTAAAAAATAGGTGCCAAGCATCATCCCTCTGCATAATTCTTAATTTTAGTGATGAAAAGGCCAGCTGGTACAAGACAGCATTTCTTCCTGCTTATGTGGGGGGTGGCATATAACAAGAAAACACAAGCATTTGCCAGGCATCTGCCTGGCAGCCCTTAGTTTCCTCTTAGCTTTGGAAGCGGGGAAATGGAAATTGCTTCACAATTTTCTGAGTAATCTTTGTCCAGATTCAACTTAATACTTATTATATTTGTTACTAGTGGTTTCCACATTCACTGTGATTAAAAATGGCAAGTGGATTAAATCAGATAAATTAAGTAGATAATTAGAGTCCAAAATGCACTTTTTAGCTAGCCAGTGTAAGCAAGGTTTTAGAGGAATTGTTGTGTTTTTTAAGCCTATAGCCCAGTGGTTCTCAACCTGTGGGTCGGGACCCCATTTGGGGTCGAACGACCATTTCACGGGGGTCGCCAAACAAGGCTATCCGCCATTTTTTCCCCCTTTTCTTTGGCCACGCCCCTGGCACCCGGTGATGTATAAGTGGTTGGGGGTCACCACAACATGGGGAACTGTATTATGGGGTCGCGGCATTAGAAAGGTTGAGAACCACTGCTATAGCCCATCTTTTTAGGAAGTAGAAGAAATTGATGTTAATGATTCATGTAATAAAATCACTTGAAATACAGTATGATAAATCATATTTAGAATATCTAGTTTGAATGTGCCATCCTGATAAATCAATTAATGATTAACATGAAATTAGTTTTCTGTGAATGTAAAATTAAATTAGTATGACAGTGTAGATAGATTGTGTTTGGATACTACAGCGTATCTTCCATAAAAATTGTTCAAAATCATATTGTTGGACATGTAATTTAGAACTGGGTACATTAACTTGTATGCTTTGGTCATGTCTTGTTCTTGCTTGATCACTGTACATGTGCTCTTCCTGATTACACATAGTCCTCGATTTATGACCACAATTTCTGTTATTAAATGAGACATTGAAGTGAGTTTTGCCCCATTTTACAAATTTTTTTGCCCCAAGTGTTAAGTGAATCACTGCAGTTGTTAAGTTAGCAGCAAGTTGTTAAGTGAATCTGACTTTCCCATTGATTTGGCTTGTCAGAAGGTCACAGAAAGTGATCACATAACCCAAAGATACTGCAACTGTCATAAATATGAGTTTGATCATATGATCATTGGGATGCTGCAGTGGTCATAAGTATGAAAAAAGGTCATAAGCCACTTTTTCAGTGCCATTGTAACTTCAAACAGTCACTAAATAAATTGTAGGTCGAGGACTATCTGTATATTCATTTGGGGACATAGGATTAACTAAAAGAATTATTTTGTAATGCTCAAAAGTGAAAGGTACACCTGACTTGCAACAATAAATTGTTGATGTTGTACACACTATTTTTGACAAAGATGATTTTCAAACAATATGGTCATTTTAGAGTAGTTCATTTTATAAAACAATTCCACGCCTTGTTTATTTTCCTTTATTATTTGCTATAGATTTTGAGGTTAACCCTTTAATGTTGTATGTGTTCATACTTTTGTTTTGTTGATATAGCATAATAAAATTAAAAAATAGCCAAGATTATATATATGAGTGTATACATTTTAAAATCATAATCATTTCACATAGCCATATAATAGTGAATTAAGGATTTAGAAAATTTAGAATAAATTAGATTTTCAAAGAGAGGCAGAATCAGCTTCAGCCAGCAATTTTGATTAGTAATTAAGGTTAACCAAAGCATGTGGATTTCCAGTTATGTTCAAAGTCACTTCTCCATTCTCCAGCATTTCATTATTTTCTCTGAGCATCTGAAAGTACAGTATTTGAGGTACAATTTGATAAATAAATAACCTTTCCCCTTCTTACCTTTTCTCTCCTCCTCCTTCTGCCTAAAAGTGTTGCTGTTCTGAACAAAATAGAACCTTAAAAAGAGCATTTCTCCAGTATGATGAGTGGAGAATCCACCAATGGGTTAGCTTTGTCTTCTGCCCGGATAGACTAAGTCAGCCAAGTTGCCACGCCTCCGTCCCTGGAGCAGGATTCCAGTCTCGACTTAGTCTCTCGCCCGAAAGAACACACAAACTTGGCTCTAGGACAGATCACCAGATCAGGTCGTATTTAACTTTTTTCTTACCTTTTACCTAAGGCGGGGGGTGGGAAACGAGCAGGCGTTCGTTCGTCGCCGTTTCCAGCTGATTGGAGCGGACCGCAGGATTTTATTCAGCCCCAACTGATCATCGGAGGGGAAAACAAAGAGCCAGTCGCCATTTTTGGCACCGTGTGGCTTCAGAGTGGGAGGAAGAATTTCCCCCTGGGTCGAAGGAAGCCATTGAGGGAGGAATCTCCCCCTGGGTGGAAAGAAGCCATTCCTAGCCTCCGCGATACAGCAGGACCACTCGATACCGGCTCACCATCCCCCAGCTGTAAACAGCGTTTTTTTCTTGCGACCACCATTTTCAAGCCGCAAAATTCAAAATAACTGGCTAGCCAGCTTGCTCAGATCCCAACAGGCTGGACATCAATTTCTGCCTGTGGCATAGCGCTGGTCAGCAACAGCTGGCTCAGACAGGTACAAGGTAGAGGATTTCAATTTCTCCATTTGAATCAGGAAGGGATCAAGCCGGAGAGGTTCTGAACTGGGGGGGGGGAGAAAAGGGGAAGTGTGTGCCGCCCTTCCTCAGCTACAAGCCATCCCAGTACAGGAGAATACCACCACCCCGTACCTGCTGAGTCACTCACAATCCGGCACAAGTTCAATTACCACACCTTTGAATTTTTTTGTTTTTATTTTAAAGGAGGAAGTGAGATAGAAGAGGAAGAGTCACGACAACCTGAATTGTCTGCCCAACAATTATGTGCGGGTCGTATCATTAATTTGATCTTGCCGCTAACAACAACACAACAGAGTGTTGGATCAAAGGTGCACAGAGGTGTGGCTATACCATTTATTGGCCTTGCCACTTTGGACTGCTTCCAGTCATCACCTAGAACGACCTATCACCAGGCCTCTCACCTGGAGATTCCTTTCAGTCCCTACACTGAGATATCTCTTATATCAATGGCAGATACCATTGCTGCTCAGGCAGCGCAGGATTCCTCCGTTAGTCCTCCTGGACATAAGAGGCCAAGATCATCCAATCAGGAAGCAGCAGGAAGGATCAAAGCCAAAGCAATATCGGGCAAAAGATCCTCCAAGGCCGCTGATAAGAAGGCCAAACGAAGACATCAGGCTCTGGAGAAACAATTCTCTAAAGCCGAAAAGAAACAAAGCACAGCAGAAGATGGACTAGTTCCCCCTGCTTACACAGAGGAGGAGATTTTCGGCCTACTGCAGTCTATTCAGGAACCTCTGGAAACAGAGGCTGAGGCAGAACAATCAGGATCTCCTCTAAGCGATGGGCCTAAGATCAGACCATCAGGTTGACAGATCCGGCAATAGGGACAGATTTAGGCAGCAATTCCAGTTGAAGCGGCCCTTTCGAGGAGCGGGGGTCGCCCCTTTTGTAAATCCAAGTGACGGGGAAAGCTCCCCCATTGGTGGCAGGCTGGCCCTCTTCGCACACAGATGGCAAGCCACCACCACGGACCTTTGGGTTCTAAACACCGTCAGATTCAGCCTCTCACTGGAATTCACCTCCAAGTCCTCGAATCATTTCGTTCCTTGCCCATCACCCAAGGATCTGATCAAGAGAGGCCTCCAGCATCTCTTGGTCATTCAAGCTATAGATCCGGTACCAACGGGGCAACATGGACAGGGATTCTATTTCATCTTATTTATAGTCCCAAAGAGTTCGGAGGGATGGAGAGTAATTCTAGACCTAAAAAGTCTGAACAATCACTTGGCATACAGACTCTCCAATTCATATTAGCCGGTATCAGAAGGGGAGACCTCTTGACATCCATAGATCTGACGGAGGCTTACCTCCACATCCCCATACTTCCCGAGCATTGGAAGTTTCTCAGGTTCTATTACACAAGCCAACATCTTCAATACAGGGCTCTACCCTTTGGACTGTCATCAGCCCCCAGAGTGTTCACAAAGGTACTGGCAGCTCTGGCCGCTCATTTACGAACCATCCCCGTACGTATCAGTGCTACCTGGATGACATTTTAATACAATCCTCATCAGTACAGGCGGCACAGTCAGAATTGGCATTGACCCTAAGAATCCTTCAAGACCACGGGTTCTCAGTAAATTTCCAGAAGAGACAGACAGTTCCATCAACTCGCTTTCTTCATCTGGGAGCTGTGATAGACACACTGAAGTGCGAGGTCTACCTATCTCGAGTGTGTCGAACGAACATTCGAGTTCTGGTCAGTCAGATTCGAAAGAAACGGTCCACCACACTGGCCACACTCTCCCACCTGCTGGGAAAGATGATCTCATGCATAGCAATCGTGCCCTGGGCACGACTACATTCCAGAAGCCTGCAGTGGTTCCTGCTCCTGTTTCAGAAAAGAGGAACCAGCTCCTCCAACCAGAAGGTAAGGGTCCCATCATAGGTCCTGAAGTCTCTCCAATGGTGGTCATCCCTAGCAGTGGGAAAGGGATACTTGTTCAAGGAACCCACCCGAGGCATCCTGACCACGGATGCCAGTCTATTCGGTTGGGGAGCACACTTACAATCACAGCTGGCACAGGGCCAATGGCCCAAGGCAGATCTGAGACACAATATAAACTGGCTAGAGCTCAGAGCCATACACCTGGCCCTTCGCCACTTCTGCAACTCAGTGGCAGATCAGCACGTCCTAGTTCTCACGGACAACATGGTGGCAAAGGCCCATATCAACCAACGGGGGTACACGATCCAGATCTCTCATGGCCGAGGCCCAATTGGTGGGAATCTGGGCAGAGAACAACATCTCCCTCAGGGCCGAACACATATCAGGAGAGGCAAAACAGCAGGCAGATTTCCTGAGCAGGGCAACAGTAGACCACTCAGAGTGGAGCCTGCATCCAGTTTTCTTCAGAGAGGCATCAGAGAAGTTCGGCCATACAGTACTGGACTTATTCGCCAGTCCCAAGAATGCTCGGCTTCCAAGGTTTTTCTCCTGCTTCCTCTCACCAGGTGCGGAGAGAGCAGATGCGCTCCAGGGGCCTTGGCCCAAGGAGCTGCTATATGCCTTCCCCCCTCTTCCTCTGATGCAAGCAACCATCAGCAAAATATTGCAGGAACAAGCAGAGATTATACTTATTGCTCCACACTGGCCAAGACGGCCGTGGTTTGCCGACCTTGTGAGTCTTTCAATATGTCCTCCGTGGAGGATTCCATACGACCAAATCTCCCTCAGCCAGGGGGCCTTACAGCACCCAGAACCACAGTGGCTCCAACTAACCGCCTGGCACTTGAACGGAGCCTCTTAATAGGGGAATCTTATTCCCCAGACGTCATTACCACGATCCAGGCCTCGAGAAGGCCTACAATTAACAGAATTTACGACTCCACGTGGAAAAATTACTGTAGCTGGTGTGCAAGACAGCATTTAGATCCTTCTAGAATTACTATCCCAAGGATCCTAGACTACTTGTGGGAGAGGCTTAAGAAGGGTTTAGCACCCAACACAATTTGTAGACAGGTGGCCGCCCTATCCACCATCATCCCATATGGCAACTCTGAACCACTGGCCAAACACTCCATGATGCGCTCCTTCATTAAAGGCGCAACAAACAACAGACCACCCGTGGTCCACAGATATCCTTCCTGGGATCTATCCAAGGTCCTACAGGCCATCACCTCATCCCCATTTGAGCCTATCCGGACCTGCACCTTATAGTACCTGACACTTAAGGTTGCATTTCTGGTCACCGTAACTGCGGCTAGATGCATCTCAGAATTGGCAGCACTATCAGTTAGGGAGGACATCTTCCACGCAAATAGGGTGATCCTACGACTGGATCCTTCCTTCATTCCAAAGGTCAATTCCTTGTTCCACAGGTCACAAGAGGTGGTGCTACCAGATTTTTCTCCTCAGCCTTCCCATGAATTGGAACGCAAATGGCAAATGGCCCTAAGGCACTACATAAAGCAAACTGCACCATTTTGCAAGTCTGAGGTCCTGTTCGTATCCTTCCAATCTCTCTCAAGGGGTTGAAGGGTCACGGCATCCACAATCGGCAGATGGATCAGGAATTGCATAGCAGGAACAAACCAAGGGCAATTGCTCCCAGTCCCTAATCAGATCACCGCCCATTCTAACCCGCAGCACTGCAACATCAGCAGCGTGATCGACTCAAGCGCCGATTGAAGAAATATGCAGGGCGACAATGTGGGCGTCGCCTTCCCCTTTTGTAAGACACTATAAACTAGATAGGTTCGCATCGGCGGAGGCCTCCTTTGGTAGGAGGGCCCACCAATGCTTATTTTCAGAGAGTGGGACACAGGCCCAAACTGATTCCCACCTACAGACAGTGAGGCTTTGATACATCCCATTGGTGGAGTCTCCACTCTTCATGCTAGAGAAGGGGCATTGTCTTACCTGAACGCCTTTTCTCAGCATGACGATAGAGAATCCACTCCCACCCTTAGGGCCTATCAGGGTCTGTGTCAGAAAAAAATGAGCCAACACACTTGAACCATAGCCAACAGCTGCACCTCAGTCGAGACTGGGGTCCTGCTCCAGGGAGGGAGGCATGGCAACTTGGCTGACTTAGTATATCCAAGCAGAAGACAAAGCTAACCCATTGGTGGATATTCCATTGTCATGCTGAGAAAAGGCGTTCAGGTAAGAGAACACCCCTTCTATTTTGCTTTTAATCCTTGTATTTTATTATTTTAAATTGTGAGGACTTTTTCTACATTAATATTCTGATACTGTTCAAGCCAATCTAAAATAGGGGAGAAGCACTTTTCACCAGTTTGCCTTTTGGTAAATAGCTTTCTTTATGTCAACTCTGCTATTGCCACTCTGTTTCAAAAGTCGTTCAATTTGGTATACAATGCATTTTGAAGCGGATATCTTGTCCTAGCACTCATCTTTCTCCCAGTAGTCGACGCACAAGGAAGAACTTGCTGAAGTTGGCTGCCTCATGACTCACTATTTCTTCTGGCTGAAATAGCAGACCATGTGGTTTTCCTGATACTCGACGGTTTTAATATCAAATTTTCCAGAATGAATTATTGACGACTATGGGGGTACCACTGTATAACAAATTCCCCAAATTCTAAAAATGGTTATTGGCCAAAGGAGTTATCTTCCTTTACTATATCATATAGCATTTAGCAGTAGCATTTTAGGCTTATATACTACCCATAGCATTTTATAGCACTCCTTGGGCAGCCCCCAACAATCTAGATCCTCATTTTACCATCCTCGGAAAGATGGAAGGCAGAGTCAACCTTGAGCCCCGTCAGGATCAAACTCCAGGCTGTGGGCAGAGTTAACCTGCAATACTGCATCCTAACTAAACACTGCACTACCAGGGCTCATCTATCATAATGTTAGAATTCAAAATCATAAGAAACAAGTTATTCTATATTAGTCTTGATTATTTGTTCATCCAGCCCAGCATTATTTGTTCTGATTGGCGATGGCTCTTTAGAATTTCAAGCTGGTGATGTAGAATGTTTCCTACTTTATCTTTTAATTGGAAACATAATAGATAAGCATAAAATCTTCTCCAAGTGAAGTTTGTTCTACCACAGAGTTACAATCCTTTTATCAGAGTTCTCTACAAATATTGTTTTAAATTTTCAAGTAGCATATTGAACATATTGAACATTTGTAATGGAAAAAACAGTGCAAAGGAATCCTTAAAATGTTTAAATATGTATGCTTCAAATATGTTGCTATTTATGCTGGTTCCATGAGGGAGCATCCTAAGTGGAAAAAACAATCTTTAGATTTAAAGTAAGTTTTTGTTACATTTATAACTTTTTAAATGAGAATTGTTAAATTTATGTCTAGTAAATTTAATAAATTGCAAACAAAAGTATATACTTCCTATATTTTCTGTCTAAAATACTATGATAGGCTGTGCCTCATGCTGTGTTTTGTTATACAAGAAGTATGTAATAGCCCTTGAAGTTTGGGGGAGCTCTATTTTGGAAAATGTTGAGCACTTTAACATGTCACTAACATTTAAAAGCTCTATCTTTTCACCGTTAGGACCACATTGCTTCAACTAGTTTTGAAAATTGCTTTGTCATTATACCGTTGGCAGATATTCAAGGTTGGTCTGGACAGTACATAATGTGATTGCCTTGTTCACTGCCCAAGACAGCTATCTTCCTGAATCATTTAAAGTGAATGTATTTGCAGTTGGAGTTTCATGTACCACATTCTTAGCTGCACTACTTTATTATAAATTATTACAAGAGGGTTACTATAGTGAATGAACTAGCCATCATTCCAGATGCTTTCACAGAAGGCCATTTTACAGTCATGTCAGATGGCTAATATCTACATAGTATATACCAGTGATAGTGAACTTATGACACATGAGACAAAAGTGATATGCCAGTGTTCACCAACAATTGTTATTGAAAGCACATCCATTCTCTTGTGATTTTTGAAGGCTGTGGAGGCCGCATGAGAATGGGGTGTGCTCTCACACAGTCTCCAGCCTCTCTGAAAATCATGTGAGAGAGCATGCTCCTGCATGGCCTCCTACACCTCCGAAAATCGTGCAAGAACAGAGCATGCTTTCACATGATTTCTGCAGAGTGTGTGGAAGAGCATTCTCCAAAGACACTTCAGAACAAAGGCCTTGTGCGACCTACAGCAGCCTGTGTAGTAGGCCACAGGGGCCTGTCAACAAAAAAAGAACACTGCCTGGAGGTAAATGGAAGGCAGCAGATCCTGGCAATGCTGGGCTGCGGGGGCATTTTCATCATTCGCCAAGGCTTCTGCATCTTGGAAAATGGTACAAGGCAGCCTTTTTCAGGGGCAGCAGTGGCGCTAGAGTTGATGTCAAGGCCTGAGCCTCACCTTCATACCCAGTCTCGATGCTGCCACCAAATGTTGTTCATACGGCACTCCTAGATGTTATAGTAAAGATTGTTATTATTTTTTGTGTGTGTTGGGGTGACACACCAGCAAAGTCAAGTGTTTGAATGCTGAGCTGAAAAAGTTAGACATCACTGTACATACTGTACTATATCAAGGAATCAACAACTTTTTTTCATCAGTAGAACTTCCCTGGTAGCATGTACACCAGGGAAGAAAATAGCCCACTAACCTTCCCCTTTAACAAAATAGAACAAAAAAATATGGTTATTTGGAATCCTAATTTCAAGAAGGGAGGGGTCAAGAAAGTTTTGCCAAGGCAAAACTGAAAGGATTTCCCTAGCTAGCCCTACATAAGCCTTGTCTTGGGATAGAAGAGGAGAGTTTTCTGGAAAACAGATTGAGATAAGCTTTTGGTAACCAGGTTATCCCACTTAGCACAGTGTTGTGATTTGTGAAAGAGAAATAATGTCAGTGTATATTCACACACAGTGAAGGTTTATGTGAACTTTTGAGCTCATTACAGATTCCAGGGAGAATATTCCATGTAATGGGTAAGAATCCTCCTCCCCTTTTAAAAACTGGTACTTTGAGGTTAGCACTTTGAAAATGATGCCAGCTGTCTTGCTTTTTGTGATGAGTGCTAACTTCTTTTGGGGTAACATGAGTTGGTGGAACTCTTTAATGCTAAGATTCCTGATTGGATTTACCGTATTTTCCATCATGTAAGATGACTTTCTAAACCATGAAAATCTTCTCAAAAGTCAGGGGCCGTCTTATACGCCCAGTCGTCTTATACGCCAGAAAATACGGTAAATGTAAAATGAGTCTCTTTAGAAATAACAAAATTGTTCTATTTACATGATCTAAAATCAGTTTGATGATTTTAATGGAAATTAAAATTTAATGGAATAAATTTAGTTTGACATGTTTGTTTATATAAAATTTCAAGGGATTTACTAAAAAAAAAAAAATCTCAAAGATTTTTGGGCTTGTTCCAGGTGAGACTTTTACTCTGAATTTTGAAGAGATCCAGCTTAATGTCATTTTTTTATTTTTTAATCCTCTCACGTTTTTCTAGTCTTTACTTATTTCTTTTCGACAGGAAAAAGCCTTTTTTATTTTGACTGATAACTCTGATGCTTTCCAAAACAGTGTTATGTTTTAAATGTTTTCCTAATTATGATGATGCTAATTTATTTAGTATTTCATATTCAATATCCTGAAAAATAGCCACAAATGCTATTTTTCTATTATCAGTTAAATTAAAGCTATTTGGTATCTTACATCAGTTAACCAACAAGCCAAGAAATTCTTGGTTCAAATCATAATTATATATCTCCTTAGTAGGCTTCCTCTGATACTTTCCAGATGGGTTAAATTTTAACTCTTTCAGTTCCCAGGAAACATTTTGTATAAATTCTATTACTTGCCTCATCACTTACTCTTCACTTCACTTCCTCTCTTTGCTTTCTCCTCATTATCATTCTTTATTGTAAAGATCTAACCTTTTTGCTTATGATCTAAGGCACTATGTGCTTTAATGATGCTATAAATATAACACCAAACCACTACCTTGCCTTTAGTATTTATTTAACTTAGTGCCTTCTGGTACTATAGCTGTGTTTTGCTAAGTAGATAGGAACTATTTCATAATAAGATTCTATGGCAGTAAATATTTCAGCTAAATTAAGGCTATTAAGTTAAAAAAAACTATTATGTTTGAATGTTTTTGTGCTCCCAATGCATTAATTTAAAACATATTTTACCTTGAAAAGACATCTGAATATTGTATTATAACGCTTACGGACTGGTCTGATCCAACTTTAGGCTACACCCTTTCCTATGGTGATGCTCCGTGGTCGGGGAGGAAATTCTTATACTTTTGCCAGCTTGTTAAAAAAGATTAAACCCACTGAAAATATACCTAGGATAAACCTTGATAAAAGTAGCTTGAAACAGATTTGGAAATGAAAGAATTGGAGAAATATCCTTAGTCAGCATTGATCATGTTGGCAAGGAATTCTAATTGTTGCCCTGCCAACACACCTATATATCTCAACTAAATAAAGTGTAGTATGAAAACATGGAGTAAAATCAGTAGCAAATGAACTATATATAGACTTTTTCTAGACAAAACTATAAGTAATCCTCGACTTACAATCATAGTTCAGCCCAAAATTTCTGTTGCTGATTAAGACATTTGTTAAGTGAGTCTTGCAGCATTTTACCACCTTTCTTGCCATAGTTATTAAGTGAATCATTGTAGTTGTCAAATTGTAACGTGGTTAAGTGAATCTGGCTTCTCCATTGACTACTTGTCAGAAGGTCGCAAAAGGGGATCACGTGACCCCAGGACACTGCAACTGGCATAAATATGAGTGAGTTGCCAAGTGGCTGAATTTTGATCATGTGACCATGGGAATGCTTCAATGGTCCTAAGTGAAAAGCCGTCCTAAGTCACTTTTTTCAGTGTCATTGTACAGCCATTGTAACTTTAAACAGTCACTAAATGAACTGTTGTAAGTCGAGGACTACCTGTACAGGGGAAAATGAGCAATGAGACCAGATAGATACTTATAGAAAATATTTGATTTTAATGCAACTAAAAACATAGCATTTTTTTAAATTTGATGATATCAAGGAAACTTAAGGTTTTCATTTCATTTCCAAGGGTTATTTAATTTTATGTGCTTTTCAGATAGCTACAAGCTACCCATAACGTATAGAAGAAATCCATAATCTATATCCAGAATATTGACAGGTATTTAAAACTTGGGTTAATACATGTCTCACAAACCTTCGTTTGTGGGATTAAGACTCACATGAGCCTCCCCACTTGTCAAATTGCTATGTTAGTAACATATTTCTTTCTTGCATTGTAGGACAAAGAAACCTGCATAGGAATCAACAATCAGAGTTACAGTTGTGAAACAGGCCATTGCTGTGGACAGTCTCAATGCTGCAATTACTATTATGAACTCTGGTGTAGGTTTTTAAAATTCATTTTATAATGCAAATCATAACTACTCTTGGGTTTAGAATCTGATTTTATCCTTATCCCCCCCCCCAAGAAATGTTTTTATAGATTGAAACTGAAGCCTGGCAAAACTGACTACAGGTAGTCCGCAACTTACAACAGTTCATTTAATGACCATTCAGCATTACAATGGCACTGAAAAAAGTGACTTAGGACCGTTTTTCATAGTTATGATCTTTGCAGCATCCCCATGATCATGTGATCCAAATTCAGATGCAGCTGGCAACTGGTTCATAGTTATGACCATTGCAATGTCCCAAGGTCATGTGATTCTCTTGTGTGACCTTCTGACAAGCAAAATCAATGGGGAAGCCAGATTCACTTAACAACTGGGCTAACTTATCAACTGCAGTGATTCAGTTAAGAAATAAGGTCTTCTATGACACCTTAAGACAATGAATGAAGGGTGCTTTTTCTTTTCATATTTTATTAAGAAATACTGAATATAAGCATTTCATGGTTTTGCTCAGAAATGCATATTTTTAGATGAAGCTGTTCAGCTAGAAGATATTCTTTGAAAAAAACTAAAGCACTGGAAACCAAAATTAGTTTGCACGATTTTTATTTAAAGATTTCTTATGATTCTTTGCTTTTATGTAATTTTTTCAGCCAATACTATTGGCTGAATCATAAGAAATCTTTAAATAAAAATCATGCAAACTAATTTTAGCTACTCTGATCCAAAAGAATTTTAGCTACTCTGATTTTAGCTACTCTGATCCAAAAGAAGATATTACTTAACATTTTTAGTGATTTGCAATGGGAGAGCTTGCAATAAACAGAAAACAATTGAATTAATTTTTGTGCTACGGTTGCAATGAAAAAAAAATATAGTTGAGTTAATTAACACAATTACTGAGTAATTTTCCCATTCCTCAAAACCTTTGCCCTAAATGAGTAACTAAATGAGCATTGCCACCAGAGATGGTAGCATGTACCAATTTGATTACAGTTCTTATTTTTCTTAAGATTACATAACTTATCCTAAATTATATTTTTTGAAAATGTAAAGTACTTTCCTTTGTTCAGAATCTAGCTGTATTGAGGTCTCAAGTTCAGGCATTATATAAGAAGGAAAAAACAAACCTATGCACACATGCGCACATACACACACGGACATATTTATATTTATATCTTCCTTTATAATTTTTTTTAAGTAATTCAAGGCAGCAAACATACCTAATACTCCTTTCTCAATCCTGTGAGGTGAGTTGGCTGAGAGAGAAAGCCTGGCCCAAAGTCACACAACTAGCTTTCTTTTTCAGCATTAGGTATAACACTTCTATGATATTCTCCATTCCCTCCCTCCCTTCTCTCTGCTAAACATTGGGATTTTTTAAATAGTATTTCCATCTTGTAATTCTACAAACGGAAAACAAAATAGCTGATAATTTTGGCTGTTTTATCATGAGCATTTTACTACCTTAAAGATACTTTGTTATTTCTTAATGAAAGAAACAATCTTTTTTTTATAATAACCATATATTTAATGTCTTGGTTATCTCATCTTTCTCTCCCATTCATACTTAATTGTTTTTCATCTTACCTGGTATGAAGTCAGCCTTAAAATATTCTCTCTTTTCTGGCAGAAGCAATAATTCTCACTTGACTTCCATGATATCAACTGGCTTCCCACAGGCCACTTTCATTCAAATCTTCATTTTTAGTTGTTGTGATGACTCTTATTTACAGTTGACTGGAATAAATATGTAAAAACACCCGGTAACTCTGCATGTTGCTTCTATTTATGTTGCCTGACAGTTGGTCTATTGACAGATGCAGACTCTCTGCAAGTGATTACACACATATGCAGTAGTTTATAGATAAAGTTTTTTTTCTGAAGAACTGCTCTGAATAAAATTTACTTTCCCGTCCTCCTTTTTCTTTCTCCACAGGGTTCTGGCTAGTATGGACGATCATCATCATTTTGAGTTGCTGTTGTGTTTGCCACCACCGACGCGCCAAACACAGACTTCAGGCACAACAAAGGCAACATGAAATTAACTTGATTGCCTATCGCGAAGCTCATAACTACTCCACCCTGCCATTTTATTTCCGTATGTACTGCATGCAAGGAGTAGCTCTCTTCAAAGATCAAGACCAAAATATTGCTATATTGAGAGGGGACATGAATACAACAGGGATTTCCCCCCCCCCCAGAAAAAAGTGGCAGAAATGGTACAGAAAGGTTGGTTGATGAGGACAGAGTGCAGGTTTATACTATCCTGAGAGGCTGTGCTCTATCCTTTCTAGCTACTTGATCTAGTTGAAGCTAACCTTTATTGATATGGGCAAAATTTAAGTTGTATAGGTGACTGACTGAAACAGAAAGATAAAACCATGAACTAAATTTGTATCAAGCATGGTAGCAGTATATTCCTTTTTGAGTTATTTTTCAGATTCTGCTGTAAAAAGGAACAAGAGGTGCTGGTTAGCCTGAACAAAAGCAGAACTAGTAATAAAAGCTGAGCTGTTTTTATTTTTCATATTTTTTCCTCTGTGACTGATAACAACATCAGTGTCATAGATCTATAATAAAAAGGAGTTGTAACGTATCACTAGAATGCAAAAGGAGCTTGATATCTAAGATCTCTTATTATTAGTATTTGTAATAGTGACGGATGCCATTTTTCTGTCTGAGTTCTACTAAAAAATATAGATATATTTAGTAAATCAAGAGCAGGCAACTTGAGAATTCCCAATGTTCCTTAGTGAATTCCTATAAATCCTAAATAATATCACAGATTATAAGAACTGTAATCCAAAATATCTGCAGGACACCAGTGTTAAATTTGGTAAGGGATAAGCAAAGGAAATATAGAAAGAAAAAGTAAGTAAAGGAAAGTATTTACGTGTCAAATTTATTTCTGAGAAATACTAGTTAAATGGATCTCTAGTTTTATAATGGATGGTAAGATATTTCTTATCTTTTCCTTTTCTTCTCCAGAATGTTGTTTAGTCATGGGTCAGATAACTAATTTAGCAACACTTGTTTCAAAGGCCACATAAATTGCTTACATGAATTTCTGTGTTTGAATATTGCCTGCATGTTATTGCATAAGCAATTGCTGCTTCCTAAATGAAGTAAGAAATTCAGATTTTGTAAAAAGTAAAATCACTAGAAAAGTACTTATATAGAACAAAATGGGTCTTAATGTGATTTAGATTTCATCTATATAGAAATATGGAAGTAACTTGTCCTCCCTGCCTCCCCATTTAGGATTTTTGCCAAATTATTTACTACCTCCATATGAGGAAGTGGTGAATCGACCTCCAACCCCTCCCCCACCATATAGTGCCTTACATCAGCAATGCATTCCACCCAGCAATGGCAGTACAGCACCAGATACAAGAAACCTACAGACAGCTCAGGCAGGCACTCTGTCAGGAGCAGGAAGCAATAATGGAAATATGGACAGCGCTGCCTCCCCAAGCATCGGGCATTCTGAATCCTCCAGTCCGCCAGTTGAGCAATCAGCTACCAAAGCAGCATGTGGTGAGCCAAGGCATTCCAACAGCAGAGTGGAATTAGAAGATGCGGCTGACCACGTATCTACGTCTGACAAGGAGTCAGAGTGCAAGGAAGAATTGCTTAAGGATTACAACTCAGAAAGCTTAGATCCCAACAGCGCTTTTTCAGATGCTAAAGACAAGACACCAGGCAGGCACCGAAGGTTCACTGGAGATTCAGGCATTGAAATTTGTATCTGTAACCAGGACCACCATGATAATGATCTCAAGGAGTTAGATGGGTTCATTGATGATGGATCCATGGACTTCTGTGATAGTTGCAGTGGCCATCCACCCCATGGAGATGAGGAAGAAGGGCTTTTCAGTGCTTCAGATGAACAGCACGGAGAACACAACCACCACCACCTCTCCAGACAACCTGTGGGTGTGCTCCTGAACACCATAAATGAGCAGGACTCTCCAAACTCTTATGCCAATACGTCTCCCAGCTAAAACAACATCAGAAGGGAAGATCTGCAAAATTATAAATATAACCAAAACCAAATTGGTTCTTCTTTTTCTTCAGATGTAACTATGGGAATAACATAAAATCTGTTGAGGAGGGGGCAGACATGTTTAGGCTTTTCTTTACTTCTTTTTGTGCTAAAATTGCCGCTTCTGTCCTCCGACTGGTTAGGGACTTGATTTAAAGTGTGATCATTTATATAGAGAGAAGAGAAAAAAAACTTCCTATTGCTGATTTTGGTGATGTTTATTTGGTTGGATGTCACCTTAAACGTTTTCAGGATCTGCTTTATTTTCTGATCAGAAACTTCAAACGTGTGAGAAAAAGGACTACTAGTGTTTAACATCCCTCTCTTGCCCCCTCCCCCCACTTATTAGTGTATTTCCCCCACCTCTCTTTTCAGGTGTCTTCCCAAAAGCTTGTGGCATTTGATAGCCCTGGCAATACGTTTAGGTAGTACTATGGAGAAGTTGAAAACAATACTCAAAAGAGCGGGTTCTTACGGTTTTTTCTTTTGGCCAATACAATGCATCTCTGATGCATTTAGATTACAGCGGTCTGTAATGCATGTTTTCTTCTTGAAGCTGGTAAAGGACCAGTTTCTTCCCCCCAAAAAAATGTTAACCAAAACCACAGCATTTATGCAAGAGGGGCCTTCAAACATTGCCCTTTGTTTTATTTTTAAGGCAAATGTGTAGCTATAAGTTGAGACTCCTTGAAGAAATTCTCCTTTTCCAGTACTTGGTCCTTACATAACTTGCAACTAGTATGCTGCAGTGCAAAAGGACAGGGGTTTTGCAATTTCAGACCAGCACACTAGTTAAAATGACAAAACCAAAACATACAAAAGATCAGGGCTGTCTTTAGGTGCCTTCAGATTTCAGCGATGCTTTTTGAACAAATGGGGAAATCAATGCATTGCAAATGGATAATTTGCAACATTAATGTGGAAGACCTGTGCAGTATTTTCTTTCCTTAGTCTAAAAGTTAGTATGATCTAACAAGTGACCACTTAAAAGAACTGAGTGTCTGTGTTTTGCTTTCTTGAAAGCAGCACAGGCTACTGTACAATGTCTGTGAGTTTGTTTGTGTGTGTGTGTGTGTGCGCGCGCGCATGTGTGTTTCCTACTGGTAAGATGAAATTTGCTGCTGTAAGACTGCAGAAAAAAAAAGACTGTTGCTTTGCTTTAACCAAACAATGGAGTTTTTGTTAGTAACAACACCAAAGGGAAGGGAAAGAAACTCAAAACAACTGAAACTAACATTCCTCGGAGTGTTCCTGTGGAAGAGACCAACCCTTGGTTTCTATATTAAGTGTGATGGACATCTCTTTTTATTTTCCCCTTTCGTTTTTCTTGAATTACGGTTGTCTGGGTCACTCATTGTTATAAAGTAGACTTTCAAATTTGATTGTTTGAAACCAAAATCGGTTTGAAATATGGTGTAAACCCAAATATAATGCCTTTTTTCTGATAATTCCTTGTGTTTCATTTTCTTTGGGGAAAATAGAGCAGAAATATCACAGTGAAAAATGTTTGTTTACATTTGATTATGGAATTGTGAACATAACTTAATACAGAGTAATGTAGATACAACTTTATGCTTAATAGGTACACTGTCAGTAGCAGGTATCTGTTTATATACAGCTATATAGTGAAAATAGCAATACTGTAGAAGCAAGAGCTGCACTTTTTCACTAGACTATTCTTCCCATCTTGCTTACTACCATGGAAAAACAGTAACAAATAAGTAGATATCAAATGTCTTACTTTTGGAAGAATATTTTCCATTTATGAATTATGTAGAAATAGAAAAGAAACCTGATGTTATTTGTTTTAATATTTGTTCATCAGTGATCAAAATCCCACTCTAACTTTATGGTTTGAATTGCATTACATGAAACTGCTTGGTGTCCGAACATCACTAGCTATCATTATTTATATATAGCTAGTGAATGGAAATGAACAATTGGGATGGGTAGAATTTCATTTGCATCAGAGCTGTTGTACATGCTGGTCTTTTAGTGCATACCTATGCTATTATGCACTTTAGAGCCATATCCAGCCATTTTATGCATATACCACTTGGCCCAATAATTCAAGAAAGCACTACTGAAGAGAAACACAAACTAATCTATAAGATAATAAGGCATTCTGGTACTTTATGAGACTTGATTATGTTTCCTAATAGACCATAATTATTATATCCTACATCTTAAATATACCTGGATCATAAATAAAAGAAAAATATTCACCATACATATGATCTTCTGGATCCTACACACTTCCCCATTATATGCTGTATGGGTAAATTTTAATGTATTATTTACAAAACTAATAAGTAATCCATAATAAGTAATTTTATACTACACATCCATAGTTGTATTAGTCAGGAAGAACAGATTGCATAATATTTTGCTATTTTATTGCTTTAATATTTTTCTTCCAAAAATGAAACCTCAGAAATCATTTTGTAGGAACATTTCTAAATTAGAGAAAAGTTTGATAATCCAACATTCTTTTTTCATAGAACATGTTTTGAGTCTGTCTACAAACTGGTTTTGAAAGAACAGCTTTTCATGGTTTCAAACTGAATAGTATTTACAACAATGGAAGTTCCATATAGCACTCATGACCAATGGGCCTTAATAGACTTAATTTATGCACTGTATCTAACACAGCCTTCCTAAATTGGTACCAAAATATGATTTTATAAAAGAAGATTGTTGAATTTCATTGTCTTTACTGCTGGTACCAAAATATCGTTTTGATACAGCAGTAAAGACCAATCCAACAATTTTGTTTTATAAAATCATGATATACATTAGTGCTGGCAACATTTATAGCAGTGGTTCTCAACCTGTGGGTCGGGACCCCATTTGGGGTCAAACGACCATTTCACGGGGGTCGCCAAACCACGCTGTCCGCCATTTTTTTCCCTTTTCCCTAGCTGTCCT